CTCTGCCTACAGTTCAACCTGTCCAACCAAACCAACCATGTCAGTATTGTGGTCGCTCACATGGTAACCTACCCTGTCAATGTATTAATAATGTCATTTATCTGTGCAGAAGCACCCAGCACCTTATAAAGAACTGCCCCCAATGACCAAAGGATGCAACCCGGCCTATAGCACAAGGTGGCGTGTACCACTTGGATGAACTTAGTGCTCTTCCTACTCCTGTTCTTATCCAAAGTATGCTTTCAATTCATGACTCTTCTGCCAAGGCTCTGATCGATACAAGTGCTACTTACTCTTTTATTTTCTGTACATTTACTTGATTTTAAACCAGAACCTTTGGTAAAAATATTAATGGTAGAAACTCCCTCTAGGGGACTACTAGAGGCTCATTATGTATATAAAGATTGTAAGATAAAAGCTTCAGGAATAAAGGTATTTGTAAATCTGATACTGTTAGATTTTGTAGGATTTGGTGTGATATTAAGAATGGACTGGTTGAAAAAGTATAGAGTTATAATCCATTGTGAAAGTAAACTTGTAACTTTATGGTCTCTAAAAAAGGAATAAAATTTTTGTTATTATTTTCCTAACCGTTAAATGAATAGAAATATAGGTGTTGATCTTGTTGTGTGTACCATACTAATTGTTTACAACTTTCTGAATATCTTTCCTATCGAACTTCTTAGTCTACCTCCCCTGCGAGAAGTAGAGTTCTTAGTTAAACTACTGCCCAAAATCCAGCTAATCTTAAAGCCTACCTATCGTATGGGTCGTGTGAAGCTAACAGAGCTAAAACATCAGCTTTCTAACTTTATTACCTAGAAGTTTATTCAACCTAGTCATTCTCCTTGGAGCGCTCTGATGTTGTTCGTGAAGAAAAAATATGGTTCTCTCAAACTCTGTGTGGATTATCAGGAACTCAACCGAGTGACCGTTAAAAACAAGTACCCCTTACCTTAGATTGATGATCTCTTTGATCAACTACAAGGAGCCACAGTCTTCTCTAAAATTGATCTCAGGATAGGATATCACAAGTTGAGAGTTAAAAAAGAAGATATTATAAAGACCACCTTCAGGTGTAGGTACAGTTCGTACGAGTTCAGGGTAATGTTGTTCAGATTAACCAATGCCCCTGCAACTCTCATGGACCTAATGAATAGAGTTTTTCAACACGCACTAGATCAATACATCATCGTTTTTATTGATGATATCCTAGTGTCTTCCAAGAGCCTTGAAGAACATGTAATGCACTTGACTAAAGTGTTGGAGACTCTTTACCAGAACCAACTGTATGCTAAATGGAGCAAATACTCTTTCTGGTTGGATTGAGTTTCCTTTCTCGGTCATGTAATTTTAAGTGAAGGAGTTTTTGTAGACCTGTCCAAGTGGAAAAAATAGTCAATTGGAATCCGCCCACCAATGTGACTAAGGTACGTAGTTTCTTTACCTTGGTAGGTTATTACCGACAGTTCATTGATGGATTCGCTAAGATTGTCACCCCACTGACTTGACTTACCCAAAAGGAGGTACCATTCATATGGAATTATGAGTGTAGTGAAAGCTTCATGGAATTAAAGCATCGCCTCACCTCTGCTCCTGTTTTAATCCTCCCTAACACTACGGAAAGATTTTAGGTCTAGTACTATGCATCTTATATTGGCTTGGGGTGTGTCTTGATGCAGTATAATAGAGTAGTCGCCTATGGGTCTCGAAAATTGAAACCTCATGAGCCAAACTACCCTATCCATGACTTAGAGTTAATAGTCATTATCTTTACCCTGAAGATATGGAGTCATTACCTGTATGGTCAAACTTTTGAAATTTATACTGACCGTAAGAGTTTAAAGTACATTTTTTACAGAAGGAGTTTAACATGAGATAGAGACGCTGGATTGATCTTTTAAAAAACTATGACTTACAAGATCATCTATCACCTCGGGAGAGGAAATGTGGTCGCTAATGCACTGAGTCGAAAGGAGTCTACTGTGTTGGCTCAAGTCATGGCCTCTAGTTGAAAATTGATGGACATTATGCAATTTCTCTGCCTTAACTATTATGGCAAATGCACATATTTTGCCCAAATCCGAGCCTTGCCGAATCTCTTTATAAAAATCTGGAAAGCTCAATCCACGAACCCAGAACTCACAAAGAATATATGTAAGTTCACTTCTAACAAATCTCCTCATTTTAGAATCTTTTATGATGGACTGTTCAAATTCTGGAAGTGAATTGTGGTCCTCGTGGCTATAAGGGAGGATGTTCTCAAGACCACTCATGCTTCTAAGCTATCCATCCATCTCAAAAGTACCAAAATGTACAGGGACTTGAAGTGTTAATACTAGTCGCTAGGAATGAAGAGGGATATAGTTAACTACTTCTCCGGATACCTTACTTGTCAGTGAATTAAGACAGAACATTACAGACCTGATGGTTTGTTATAAGGTCTTCCGATTACTAAATGGAAATGGGAGCATGTAACTATGAATTTTTTTATAGGGATTACCCAGGACCTATTCTGGTTAAAATACTATCTAGGTCATCATGGATAGACTGACCAAGACCACTAATTTTTTGCCCATCAGAATCACTAACTCCACCAGCAAGTTAGCTTGTTATATGTTGATGAACTTGTTCGACTTCATGGTGTTCCCTCATCCACTATGTCCGACTATGATCCTTAGTTTACTTTCCACTTCTGAGACAGCTTCAAAGAAGCTCTGGGGTCAGGTTTGTATTTCAGTACCGCTTATCATCCCCAAATGGATGGTCAATCGAAATGTACGATCTAAACATTAGAAGACATGTTGCGTGTTTGTGCCCTCGACTTCGGTGATAACTAGTATGAGTATCTTTCCCTTTGTGAATTTATTTACAATAACAATTATCATTCCAGCATCGACATGGCCCCATATGAAACACTGTATGAAAGGCCTTGCCATTCTCCTAATTATTGGAGTAAAGTTAGAAACCAGCGCCATTTTGGACTAGACTTCGTTCAGGAGACTATTGAGAAGGTCACAATCATCCGAAAAAATTTAGCAACTGCCCAGACCATCAGAAGAGTTACACCGACAATCATAGGTGATCCTTGGAGTTTGTTGTGGGAGATTAGGTCTTCTTCAAGGTTTTCCCCTATAAGGGAAAGATGCAGTTTGGACAGAGAGGAAAGTTGAGCCCTAATTATGTGGGACCTTTTCAAATCATCGAGCGCATTGGACCCATGGCATACTGTCCCGCTCTACCCTGAGAATTTACGGGTCTATATGACATCTTAAATTTATATTGCAATATCAAAGTAGGATGCCATTTTTACCAGTATTGTTGAGGGCAAAAAAATTCCACTTTACCGCATGAACATACATATTGAATATCAATCACATAACAAATCCTCATGCACCTGAAAATGAAATTGTTATATATGGGTACCACATATCACATTCTACATATACTCGAAAGTAGAACAGTTATGTATAACACTTCCCAATCATGAAAAGGGTTCACCACGAGTGAATTTCAGCCACACGCTCATCCTCCCTCTCAGATACTAATTAAACAGATTTTTATGTCTTTTAATCTTCTTCATTCTTTTTCTATTTCCCAAAATTTTCTTAATGCTTAGTGTACTTTATACTATAGAACATTTTCATATTTGATTTATTTTCTATATTTCTATTTAGTTATTTATACTTAATTAATTTCAACTTAATTGCATATTAGTCCATATCTTCTTAATTAATTTATTTTGTCATTATATTTCCTTTAAAATTTTCATTTTGTTTTACTTATTTACTTAATTTTTCTCATGTTTTTATAACCTTTGGCTATTTTCAAAATTAATTCCTTCCATAAAATTTCTTTTTTAATTTTTTCTCTACAACTTATTTACTTATTTCATTTACAAATATTCCTTTACTTGATATTTTGATTAAAACACCTCGAAATAATTGATATTTCAGTTTTCTTCCAAAAACTTAAAAATCCAGTTGTACTCAGTGTCTTCTACTTATAACCATATATACACGTACATGCTCATTGATTCATACATATTCATATCCACATACACACACGTAGGTTCTGATAAAAATACATATATATACATACGTACCGATATATAAGCATGTACAATATACATATAGATAGTAGCCGTTTTGTCTTTCCTCGTACGCTTCCCCCACCTGCCTCTCCGACTTGTTTGATTGCAGTATAAACACACAAGAAATTCATATAATATTTGCAGAATAATAAATATGAGTAAACTGGAAGTTCTGTGAATTGAGTTTATTAGTTTTATTAATTTATGGAGTTACATTTTTTAAATAAAATTTAGTTTACTTAATTAATTTGCTCTTGCTTTAAACGAAATGTGGACTTGGTTCCAACACAAATTTTAGACTTTGGTGTCTAGAGCCATATATATATATATATAATCAATCTATTCCTATTTTAGTTGAAAATTTATTTGATAATTTTATTATGATATAAATACTTATATAATTCACTCTATATTATTTCGTTACTTTGAATTGTTATTTATTTCTTATTCAAATAGAAATTATCAAATAAATTTACATATATAGAAAAAAGATCTTACAATTTGTTTTTGGCATCTCTTTATTGCAACATGGTTCCCCTATAGATTAATCTATAAAGTTTTTTTTATCCAGGGTATGGATCATGACTGGACATGATGTAAAGACATGTATAAAGGTGTTTGGATATTATTGTTTGTCACCTTTTGACATGTTTATTAATTGTGGAATAACGATGATCTTACGTTTGACTATTTCCAAAAACTTCACTAGGAGCTTTAGTAGTCTCTATACTCTTCTCTATATACTTTTCTTTATACGTCTTTTTCATCCTCAGTAGACAAACATATCTTCTGAGAGTAGTGATAGGATGTACCTTTTGGTTGCTCTTATAGCAAGCCTGACACATATATGTATATACATATACATATACATATATACATAATATGAAAGAACTAGGTATGTAATGCATGTTAAAAAGAATGCTGTCAAGAATAGCAGTTTATTATATTTTTCTAGGTGAAAGAAGTCTCATAAACAAACCTCTCCATTCATTCCCCCAAAATAATATCCAACCTTCTCAACCAGCTATAAAACCTGTGCTTTGCCTACATCATTACTTGACAACCCAACACTTAAACAACTCTTCAATGTCAGCTCTCTACGGCCACTGAATCAGATCGGCAAATGTCTCCCCGACACAGTGGGCATACTCTGCATCAACATAGACAAAGTTATTTTCTACTTTTGCATGACTCAAACAAAAATATCAACCGATAACCAGCTCTAGCTCGACCGAAAATTTCTGGCAACCGAGATAAGAGAAAAATACAAGACTAGATCCCCATGTTAAAGATCAACTTCAGCAAAATTTGTGTTGATGAAACAGGAAATGAATTTTCTTCCCCAATGAAAATGAAATATATATGAATTCATTTTGCGATAAAGAAAAAAAAATTAGGACTCAGGTCTACTGTAATAAGATATTAAGGAATTGGATTTCTTCTCGTCCAAACCAAAATAGAGTTAAGAGAGAAAAACAAGTACCACAAAGAACAATGGGGGTTAACTAATATAATATAATGGCTTTTTAAGAACCTATAGCTAAAAACATTAATTTGACACAGATGGAGTTAAATTATCATGCATCTGCTTCGCAGAAATAAAACTGAATTGACAATAAACAGAAGATGTTTAATCCAATACAACATTTCCATTTTTTTTTCACTTTACTGGCAATAAGATTTAGATTCAAGCTAAAAAGAGTGAAGTGCATACATTTCCCCTAAAATTCATTTATGGGGGTCTCTCCTCTTCATAATCCTATTCCCTTTATTCCAAATTACTCAAAAAGATCAAAAGAATTTAGACATTTCCAGTTTTCATTAGCAACAAGATTTGGATCTTCTTTTAGCAATAAGACCTCTTTCCCTATGACATAAAACAGCTAAGCAACTTTCATATGCTTGATGATAAGCACTTAGCCCTAAAATTTAGAGAAGTATTTAAGGATGAGAATGGTGGCAAGATAATAAATTAGGGTGAAGTAGGATTCTCGAGATTGAGAGCGGGAAGTGTCTTTTTGAGAAGAAAAAATTCAATAAAATCAATAGACAGAAAGGGGAGATCACTGATGTACTAGAAAAGGACAAAACAGAAAGTTAATTCATGTTTGTTACAGTGGCTAGTTGATTTTGTTCAGCCTTGATAGCGTTGTGAGGTAGTTCACTTAGTGTTCAACAAACCTAAAATGTCATTTTCTAATTGTTTTTCTGTTTATTCCTTAACCAAAATATATAATCATCTTTGTTACCATCAATGATGCTGCCACCATCACGACAATCAACTCTGTCACCACCAAACCATGGCCGCCACCACTACTACTGTCGTAGCTGCCACTACTACCACTAACACCATCACCTCTATTTCTACCACCACCACCATACTTTTTGCATAGGGATGTAAATGGATTGTTTGGTTCAGTTTGATTTGGCTTACACCCTATACCAAAATCAAATACTAAATTCTAAAAGCTCCAAACCAAACCATTGTACTATGACCAAACCAAAATAGTTCAGTTTGGTTTAATTTGGTTTAACTGATTATTGGAAACTATATTAACTTCTATCGTATTAACTTACTTTCACAATAACGTACCTTAAAGACAATATTTCTCATTAAATAAGCAAGTTATACATAGAACTTAGCAAAACAAAAAAAATGAATTACATATACATCTATTTTAGTTATTCAGGGAAAATAGGGTAGATATCTTAAGTTAATTCTCATTATATGTTGTTCTTAGTTATATGTAAAAATTTTGGTTTCAATTGCTTCCAATCTAGACTAAAATTTGGAGGGTCAAAAATCAAACCATTTTGGTGGTTTTGTTTGGCTTTTCGGTTTCCACCAAATAACTATACTCAAGCTGCTACCGCTGCCACAACTACTAGTCTGTTGCCGCTGCCACCATTATTATTAATATAAATTAAGAAAAAGTTAATGTGATCACTTGTGTTTTTTCATCTTCTTAGCCAATCGCCATGGTAGGTGAGAATACTATCTTACCCGACCCATATTACCAAAAATAACCTTGAAGAATTGCAGAGAGAGCTCTGTCAAGAAATCAATAAGTTTCGATAAATATTCCTCATGAAGGATAATTTGACCTTCAAATAAAATATATGTTTAGAACCAACTGTTTCTAATCCTAATAAAATTAGCTACAAAGGCTTCAAAGACTCTTCTACTACTTTCTCTCCATATGGTCCAAAAAAATTGCATTGAGAATAAGGGCAACAAACATTTTCTTGCTTTTATGGCAAACAAAACCAGCCCAGCAATAAGATCATCGAAGGAAATCCATTAAACACTTGGCTAATGCCAATAGGCAAAAGTCAGATCCCAAACCCTTTCTCCCTTCATGGCACCAAAGGAGTAAATATTTTAAGGTTTGTTATCTATGATGGGCAATGGACAATGATCATAAATAAGGCATCATGGGACTGTCACCCAAGTACATGAAAGAGAGGGAGATTACAAAAGAAAATCAGTCAAAATATTAACAAGGTTCCGTAGATGTTCTCCATTGAGTATGGGATGCCTTTTAAACAAACAAATTAAGTGTCGAACAAAAGATCATTGATTCTAAAAGGGCCAGATACAAGACCTTCAAAAACTCTTTTATTTCTGCTTCTCCATTTAGTCCAAATGATGGGGTAAGGAATAAGGAAGTATGATGTTTTTCTAGCTCTTGGTAGGTCCAATACCCTCAAGCAAGGAGATCTGTGGAGATGGAACAACTCACCATCCACTCAAAGATAGACAGAGACATAAACAAAGACAGAGATTCATCACAACAAAGACAAAGGAGGGCTATGGTTGACGATGATGCAATCTCTTCTCCATAAGTTACCAATAGTCAAAGTGATTCTGCAAAGGCCTCGTATACGAAAAAGGCCATGCAGCGAGAAGCTTTACATCTCCAGATGGGCTTCCAATAGAAGTTATCAAGGATCACATCAGACAGGAACATCTTCTTTGAACAAGTGAATTGTGCATGACTCAAGGAAGACCAACAATGATGAAATCTCATCATGCTCAAAGTAGTTAAGATCAAGCAAAAGGGTAAGTTCCAAGAAACACCTCTTTCATTCATCTTGTAACAATCACTCACTTTGGGCTCCTTAGATCTGGTTAGGCCATAAATGGTAGCTAATCTAGATTTTAATGCAAGATACCCACACCAAACACCCAAAACCTTACCCTATTACCAAGGTTGACTTTGAAGTTCTATAGAAGTCATATTACTATGTTCCTTTCTAATGCCCCTCCACAAGCTGGTACCGTAGACTTCTCTGTTTGATCCAACCCCTCTATTACAAGCCCATGTTTTGCTCCATGACCTTTCTCCACATACAGCTATTTCAAGCAAGGAAACACCAAACCCATTTGGCCATTAGAGTTCTATATCCAGGAGACTATAGTGCATATTATTACAATTAAAGTACATCTTGCAATTTAAAGGTCTTAGATATTAATTTTTTTTTTAAAAAAAATGTCTAGATAGACGCCTACTTTTTTTACAGAATTCTTAGTTGGTTTATGTTATATGTATGTCAATCAGCATTTTTATCCACTATGAATCTCAAACTCCCAAATATAAATTTATCTAGACGTATTTTATAAGAATGTGTAAATTTAGAGAATGGAAAAATTCTCTTCTTCTCTTATTTTTCCCTACGTAAGGTACCTATATATATATAAGTAGGGGATAAAACTTATTCCTAACAACTTAATGGGGATATGGGATAACAACTTTTGGTTAAGAACAAACTCTTAACCACTAGGAGGTTACCCTACAACAAATGGAAAAACAAGAAAACAGAAATACAACAAATCCCCTTTTTTTTATGATTTTGTACACTCCCTCTCAATCTAGTTTACATATATATTAAGTAAACCTAAATTGGATACAAGATCGTCAAAGGCCTTTTTTGGTAGAGCTTTTGTTAGAATGTCTGTTGTTTGTTGACTAGTAGGAATATGTATGAGTGTTATAGTTTTGTCTTCAATTTTTTCTTTGATGAAATGTCGATTGATTTCTACATGCTTGGTTAGATCATGATGCACTGGATTCTTGACTATACTAATGATTGATTGATTGTCACACCATACTTTCATAGGAGTGGTAACTGAAGTTTTTAGTTCTAACAGTATTCTCCTCAACCATACTCCCTTATATATTTCATGAGCAAGTGCCGGAAACTCAGATTCTGCGCTGCTTCATGATAGCATTGACTGTTTTTTACTACGCCAAGTGACCAAGTTTCCCCAGACATAAATACAATAGCCTGATGTAAACCTTCTGTCAGTTACTGATCCTGCCCAATCGGCATTAGTGAAGATTTCAACATCTCTGTTCATCGTTTTTTGGAAGAATAATCCTTGACCTAGAGTCATTTTTTGGTATCTCAGGATCCGATATACTGCACTCATGTGTTCCTCGATTGGTTGAGTCATGAATTGGCTCACTGTGCTAACTGCGAAACTGATGTCTGATCTTGTATGTGCCAAATAGATGAGTTTGCTTACAAGTCTTTGATACCTCTCTTTATCAACTGGCTTACCACAAACCTTGGATCCTACCTAACTGTTGGGTCCATAGGTGTATCCGCACATTTACATCCGAGCATTCTTCTCTCTCTCAGGAGATCTAAAACATATTTCCGCTGTGATACTGAAATTCCCTTCTTGGACAGAACTATTTCCATGCCAAGGAAATACTTAAGCATTCCAAGGTATTTAATCTCAAATTCTTTGGTTAAGAATTCTTTAAGTTTTTTAATTTCCTCAATATGATCTCCTTTCAAAATAATATCGTCAACATGCATAATCAAGATAGCTTTCTTACCTGAGACACAGTGCTTGACAAACAATTTGTGATCTGACTGGCTTGCTTATATACCACTCGTTTCACTGCGTTAGTGAATCTATCAAACCATACTCTTGGGGTCTGTTTAAGCGCATAAAGTGACTTTTTGAGTTTGGACACCTTGGGAGAGTTGTATATCATCTCAAGTCCTGGTAGAATTTCCATGTATACTTCTTTTTTTAGGTCACCATTGAGTAAAACATTCTTCACATCTAGTTGACAAAGAGGAATCAAGTTTTGAGGCTAGTGAAAGTAATACCCGGATAGTATTGTGTTTGGCAACAGGAGTAAATGTTTTTTGATAGTCTATCCCATAAGACTGAGTAAAGTCTTTAGCTACTAGGCGAGTTTTATACCGATTCACACTCCCATCTGAATTATGTTTAGTTGTAAAAATCCACTTGGATCCTGCTTGATGCGTTCCTAGAGGCAGTTCTGTTAACTCCCATGTTTCATTTTTTTCAAGTGTTCTAATTTTCTCTTGGATAGCTGCTCTCCATTCTGCTAATTGGAGTGCTTCATGGATTGTTTTTGATTCTGTGGGACTGTTATCTAATTTGCTCACAAATGCAGGATATTTTGAAGACAACTTACTAAATGAAATATAGTTATGTATGGAATGTTTAGTGCATGATCGAGTACCTTTTCGTAAAACAATAGGCAACTCAGTGTCAGTATCAGGAGCTATGACAGAGATCTCATTACCCGTTGAATTCTGGATGCTTGGAGCAGGAATTAATTCATGACAATGCTTGGTTGATTCAGGCACCTTCCCATATTGAATCTTATTTCTTCTAGTATAGATACGTAACTCACTATTAATTGCAGGTAATGTATTTTCAATTTCTGCTACAGACTTAGGCTCTTTGCTGATTGTAGTTTCAGGTAACATGTCAGTTTCTTCTATAGGCTCAGGCTCTAACGAAGATGTGTTTGGTGGTGGTGAGATATGTGGATAGATAGAAGGTGCGTTCATATCCCACAATTGATATTCTTGAATAAAATTCTCCCCCTAAAAATCAGTAATGGGAGAGTAAAGTTGATTTTTAAAAAATGTCACATCCATTGTATTGTAGAACTGATGATATCCAGAAAGAAACATTTGTATCCTTTTTTATTAGAAGAGTATCCAACAAAGATACATTTGAGGGCTTTTGGATCAAATTTTTCTCAGAGATAGGCATGGATATGAACATAGGCTGAGCAGCCGAAAACCTTGAGTGGAAGGGTGTTTAGAACATGAGATTTAAGGAAAGTTTATAAGAGGATGTTATAAGATGATTGAAACTGTAAGATACAGGAAGACATTCTATTTATTAAGTATGTAGCTGTGAGTATTGCCTCTCTCCAAAAATATTATGGAATATGAGTGATAAACATGATTGATCGAGCAACTTAAAAAATGTCTGTTTTTCCTTTCGGCTATGCCAGTTTGCTAAGGGGTGTTGACACACGAGCTTTGGTACATAATACCTTTCTCAGTAAAGTATTTTCCGATGGTAGTTTCAAAGTATTCACGTACATTATCAGATTTCAACACTTGTATCTTGGTATGAAATTGAGTTTGGATCATAGAGTTGAATTTCTGAAATATTGGTCCTATTTCAGATTTTTCTCTCATGAGAAATACCCAGGTAATTCTAGTATGGTCATCAATGAAGAATACAAATCACCTAGTTCCGGTGATGTTAGTAACCCCTGAAAGGTCCCCATACATCGCTGTGAATTAATGCAAATGGTTTTGACAATTTGTGTGCTAGACTAGGAAAAGAACTTCAAATCTGTTTAGAGAACTGACATACTTCGCATTGAAATGCAAGTAGATTTTTATTTCTAAAGAAATAAGAGAACAATCTTTTCAGATACAAGAAATTTGGATGTTTTAGTCAATAATGCCACAACATGATAGCATGGTTATAACTTACAGAAACAGGGTTTGCACACACTGCATTGTGAATTTATCTTCTAGTAGGGGAAGTGTCAACTTGAAGAAGGTACAGTCCCGAATGCATTTTACCATTGCCAATCGTCCTTCCCGAATCCAAGTACTGAAATTCACACAAGTTTGAGACAAATTTAGCAATACAATTAAGGTCCCACGATAGTTTGCTCATGGATAACAAGTTACAATCCAAGTTTGGGATATAGAGAACCGAATGGAGGGTCAAATATGGTGATAAAACAATAGAACCCATTCCTGCCACTTTAGAGATTGACCCGTCGGCAATTTTTATGGTAAATCTCTCCCTACAAGGACTGTATTGTTGAAATAATGACACATCACCTGTCATGTGATTTGCTGCCCTGAAGTCTACAATCCACATTTGTCTTTTTGTGGAGTAAGCTGAAAAACCAAGCAGAGTTTTACCTTTGTGTGTTACTGATGCATTACCAAGGTGATTCTTCTGAGAAAACATCTTTTGAAGAGCTTCCATCTGCTCTGGACTGAATAGATTGCTTTCTATAGGAATCAGGGGTGTGTCTTTAGAAGTCACATGGTTTCCATGGTGGTCATTGAAGGCTTCAAATTTTGAGGGTTTCCTGTCACCAGGTTTTCCATGGAGTTTCCAACACTTCTCGTGTAGATGGCCTGGTTTCTTGCAGTGATCGCACCATGGACGTCCTTTCTTCCCACAGGAATCATACATTCGGGTTGTAAGTGCAGAAGCATTTTCAGTCATGTGAGTGGATTGTGTATCTCCTCCCATCATCACTATCTTTCGACTATCTTTTCGGCGAATCTCGGAAAATACTTCTCGAATGCTCGGTAATGGTTTGTTCCTAATATCCGTCCTTGCACCTCATCTAGATTTTTATTTAGTCCCATTAGGAACTTGAAGATCTTTTCTGCTCGATAATTGACTTGAAAACTTTGGCATCTTTGGGACAGCTCCAATGGTGTTCTTCAAACGCATCAAGCTGCCGCCAATTTCGAGTGAGACTGTTATAAAATTGAGTTACCATTAAATCACCTCGTCATAGATCATGGAGAATGGATTCGATCTCGAATATGGCCGATGTATTGTCCTTACTGGAGTAGAATTCCCGAGCAACTTCCCAGATTTCACGCATAGTTTCATAGAGTAAAAAATTCTCTCTAATTTCAGTGGTCATGGAATTCACTAACCATGACATAACTATGCTATTTTCGATCTTCCATGTTCGGGCATTCGAATCATTAGCTGGTGGTTGTACGATTTCACCGGTGAGGTGTTCATCTTGGCCTTTTCCCCGGATAAATAGCAACACTAATGATGATCACTGGAGATAGTTGTTGCCGTTTAATTTGTATCCGGTAATGAATGATGAAGTCTGTTCATCCAGTCCGAGGTTGATGGGTGTAGGAAGATAGGAACCGAGGAAACCTCGGGTGGAGAAGATGGTTGCTCATCTGTGGCTATCTGAAACTTCCGCTCAGTCGGGATGATGTTTTTTTGGATCAGATCCACTCTGATACCATGTAAATTTAGAGAATGGAAAAATTCTCTCATTCTCTTATTTTTCCCAACATATGGTACCTATATATAAGTAGGGGATAAAACTAATTTCTAACAACTTTTGGTTAAGAACAAACTCTTAACCACTAGGAGGTTACCCTATAACAAGAGAAAAAACAAGAAAATAGA